GTCTGGTTACCACATCCATGTGTGTAGGCACACATGTGCACACACACACACACACACACACACACACACACACACACAAGCACACAGAGCCAATTAAGGAAGCTCATAAAAAATGCCCAAAAATCTATGACATTAAATTATAAGTACATTTATATTTGATCCAAAAGAGTCACTCTCAAGATTCAAATAAAAAGCACTATCAGTGTTAATTGATACTTTCAGTGATGTTAAGAACCACAGTTTTGGTGGGCATCGTGGTGCTTGCCTGTAACCCCAACACTGAGGAGGCAGAGGCAGGAATGTATATAGCAAGACCATGTCTCCAAAAAAGAACAAAACAAAACACACACACACGTGCGCCCATACACACACACACACAAAGAACCACTAGTTACAAAACTAAAACCAAAACCAAACCAAAAGCAAAAGCGACCAAGAAGACACATACTGACGTCAGGGCAAGTCCAAAGCTGGTAGACTGATGCTTCATCTGTATTTCGATTTTATGAAGTAAAGCTTCAATCCGGTCATCTTCAAATCCTTTCCTAAAGAACATAAACGACAAGTGAGATGCTGGAAAGAAAGAGAAGTTTCAGAAGCAGAAGGCAGCAGAGGTGGTATTCGAACAACTAAATTATAAGCGACAAGAAGCGGGGGTGTTGGGGGGAACAGCAAGACGTCCAAAAGGAGGACGGGGAGGAGGGGGAGGGGGACTAGTAAGAACAGATGACACATAGGCATGGAGATGCCATCAGCACACACACTACATGGTACGCTAACTAAAAAACTGAATAAAAGTCCAATAAGAAAATCAACTAAACTCAACCATACATATCACATTGCATTACACCCAGAGGAGGTCAGCAATGGGGAAGTCTCAGGCCCCTCCCCACAGGACACAGGATGGAAGCTGGTCATCCTGACAGCCACACGTACTCAATGACTTCTTCAATGGTCTTGTCTACGAGCTCTTTGACTGTCCTGACATCTTTCTCCGAGATCCCTTGGAGACCAACGCTGAAGTAGGCTTCCCTCGTGTAGCCATTATATCTAGAACAGGAAACCAGACAGTGTGTCAGAATCCAGGCATTTTACCTTTCACTTGGAATATATTTTACATACAGATCATGATTAAGGACTTTCAGTACAGGATCCTACCAAAGACTGTGTTGAGGCAATGTGGTAATGCAATGACCTCACATACTCTTAAGGTGCAACTGGTCAAATGCACACTCATATCCTTTTAAAGATTTCTAGCAATCAATACAACTTAAGCGTCTATGGTATGGTAAAATAAATATAGAAACAGTAAACAGCTAAGTTTTACAACACCTTAAGATTCTAAAGAATACTTGATGCAAATTCTTTAACAGTCAGTAAATAATACTGATGTAACAATAAATCCAGGCCTGGTGGCTCAGTCCTCTATCCGGCAGAAGGACTCAAAGCGTAATGTCTACTTGGGCAATCAATCAACCAAAAAAATAGATCAATCAATCAGTCAAATCACAACCAACCAATCAACTAAATCAAACCTATATCACTAAATTAAAACCACCAACCAATCAAGCCAATGAAATTAATCACACTAAAACTTACCCAACATCAGGAGAAAAGTCTGTACCAAGTCCAGATTCAATTAAAGCTTTGTAAAATGGGGAATTGGGCCCAGAAATCAGGAGGGAAGACAGAAGGTTCAATGTGAAGGCTTCAAATGTGTCGGTGATACTATGTTGAGAAAAAACAAAGGGAGATGAATGAGCACAGGTGAGAACAAGGAAAATTGTTGGTGACTATAATTATCTTTTTTAATGTGTATGTGTACATGTGATTGTAGGTATGTGTGTGTGCAGTCATGCTAAAGTGTGCACACATGCATGTAGAGAATAGAAATAAATCTCACCTGTTGTTCCTCAGGTGCCACCTTGTTTTTTTTGACAGGCCCTCTCATCTTTACCTAGAACTCTGACCCTGTCAATATGGAGTGAGTGCCTGGGATCCTCCTGTCTTCACCAACCTCTCTCCGCAAGCCCTGAGACTAAAGTGCATGCCACCATGCCCAGCTTTGTGTGTGAGTTCTGGGGATTGAACTCAGTTCTAATCAAGGTTAAGTTCCACTTGAAATTCTCACATTTTAACTGTATTTCAATAATTATGTGAGATTTTTCTCTTCTTTGGCCCTAAACCGTAAAACTAATTTAGTTACACATCAAATGCTGCCACAAGATAGTTTTCATGTCCTTTGACAGATGTTTTCAGGTATAGCCACAGTATTAAGTTAACATCAAGAAACACAATGACAGGGAGCGACAGGTCCAAACTGGCTAGTTACTGACGGGCGGCTAGAGCTGGGGAGAGTGGTAGAGGCTGTTCTCCAGGAAATTGCTATAATTAGTTAGAAAATTTTGTGTGTAGTATATTTGGGGCTGGAGAGATGGCTCTGCAGTTAAGAGTGTGTGCTGGATAGCTTTAGTGTCAACCTGACACACCTGGGTTGAGGGACCTTAAATTAGGGAACTCCTTCCATTGGAGTGGCCTATGATCATGTCTGTGAGGCATCTTCTTGACTGTTGAGTGATGTGGGAGGGCCCAGCCCACTGTGGGTGGTGCCACCCCTGGACAGGTGGGCCTGTGTTGGATAAGAGAGCAAGCTGAGCAGGGGCCAGGGGAACAAGCCAGTAAGCAGCGTTCCTCCATGGCCTATGCTCTAGCTCCTGCCTCCAGATTCCTGCCGAGTTCCTACCTTGGGCTCTCTCAGTGATGAACTGTGACCCAGGAGATATAAGACAATAAACCCTTTCCTCCCCAAGTTGGTATTGCTCAGAGTGTTTTGTCACAGCAATGGAGAAACAATCTAGAACAGAGTGCTTATTGCTCTTGTAGAGGAACCAGGTTCAGGTCCCAGCACCTACATCAGGCCACTCACAATGCCTATAGCTCCAGTTCCAAGGGACTGGATGTCTTCTGGTTCCCTCAAGCCTCTGCACAGAAGCAGACAGACAGACAGACAGACACATACACACACACTTTTCTGAGGCAAGTGTTCACAGTGCCCCTCTCATACTTAAAGCGGACCTGTGACTCCCCCGAAAAGCTAAGTTTTCTAAAGGCAGTCTCTTCGCTGACTACATAGCTCTTTCAAAGCCAGACTGAGCTGCATAAGATCCTGTATAAATGTATGTGTGTGTAAAATAAGAAAAAAATTCCTTGTTTCTGACCTTCCCCCAACCTCATTTCTGATGTTACTAAAACCCTGACATTTGTTCTTTATTCTTAAAACCTGTTTGATTCCTGAATCCTACCACCTGTCCATTAAGTTATGCCTGTCTGGTACTGTCTGCCAGCATAAACTGTTAACAACAAATACTTACTCTGGTAAGAGGAAGCTAACGCTGACGGTTGTTTGCTTAGAGGCATCCGTAGCTAATGAATCCGGACCACAGGCTATATGGAATTCTCTCTACAAAATGACAAGATGCTTTAAGACGGCAAAGAAGGCAAAAGGCTTTAAATAACCATAGGTTATCTGGACATGAAAAATGCTTTTCGCTAAGTTAACTTTCCTGTTAACAGTAATCACTGAAAAGCTACTCCATACTGTAGAGTCCAGGATAACATCTCAAAATACGATCAGTCCCGCATAGTTGAAATCCCCATTTCAATATATTTGACAGGAAGGATAAAACGCTGATGAAGAGAGCACTTACTGGCTTATCCCAGTGTTTCTGGGCTGGCACCGCAGTACTTTGCTCCATTTTCTGAAATTTGCTCAGTGCTCCTTGTCAAGAAACTCCAATGGACTCTCATATGAACATTTGAAAATTGCCCTGTTCTGACTTTTTTC